TCAAAAGTATACTAAACAATCAAAAGTTACCAAGCAGTCATAAAGTATTTAACAAAAAGTTTAAACATAACTTAAGAGTAAAAGTATTATCTAAACTTTTTCTTTAAAATGAAAAAATGGTAAGAAGATTATCTAAAAAAAATTTAAACACAGTGAATTTATAAAGATAATTTTCAAAGCCATATTCTTAGATAGTCTGTTTTTAGTTTCATTCTATTAAAAATTTTCTAAGCAAATTTGTTTATATCTGGAAATAGACTTACTTAATACAGTTTCTTTATTCACTTCAATTTTTTTAAAGATTTCTTTTCATCATTTATGTGTTATCGAGATTAAATCGTTTTTCATAATTTTAAGTTTTATTCTATTTTATCTATTTTTTGTTATTTTAAGTTTTATAGTCATCAAAATTGTGCTGGTCTAAATTTTAATGGTAACTATTTTAAATTTGATTTAATAGTAACTATTTTGGTGGTATTTTAGATATATCGTCATGCTATGTTAGAACCTCGTGATGAAAATCCTTCCAATGATGTTATGACTCCTCCAACAAAAAAGAAGAAACAAACTGTCAGGTTAATATACGCAAACACATACACACATACATACATACATACATACATACATACATACATACATACATACATACATACATACATACATACATACATACATACATACATACATACATACATACATACATGCATGCATACATACATACATACATACATACATTCATACACACAATCTTTTAAAGTTTTTTTATTTATTTTTTTTAAATAGATCTTGGGCCAATCATTGCAAAAAAGTACAAATGAAAAAAGGTTTGTGTTTAAACTTGTTATAGTAAAAATTGATTTAAATGTTTTATTTTTTAATAAAAATGTAAATTAAAATTTGATAACTTATGCTACTTTTTGTTGTTGTTGTTATATAGAAAATTCAGCTTCTATGCTAATTGGTTATTACCCATGTGAACATCCTGGGCAGCCATGCAATGCATCTTGTCCTTGTATATTTAACCATAATTTTTGCGAAAAGTTTTGTCAGTGCAGTTTGGACTGTGAGTACATAGTGTATGTTGCATAATATTTTAAATCAATAAATACTTTTTGTGTAATAGTGTAACTAATGTAAAATAAGTAAGAATCTCTGTTTGCATATTTTTGTATAAACAATAAATTGTTTTTCATTTTCAGGTCAAAATCGCTTTCCCGGTTGTCGTTGTAAAGCTCAATGTTGCACTAAAGCATGCCCATGTTATTTAGCTGTTCGAGAGTGTGACCCTGACATATGTAAAACTTGTGGTGCAGGTGTGGCTTAACTCTAGCTTAATGTTTACAATATTTTTACAATTTATGTAAATCCTTATGATTTTATCTATTTTTTTAACTAATCTATTAATACATTTTTAAGATACATAGTAACATTGTAATGTATTAAAAAGATTTTTTTTTTAAGTTATGTTTTATTTATGAATAAGTCTATGATTATTTGTGCATAAATACTACTTGTAGCATAAATATTAATTGTTGCATAAATATGATTATGCAAGTTTTATGTTTATGGAAAGGTATAACTTTTTATTTTATAATTTATCTTAAGGTAAAAAATCTTGTTTTTAATACCTTTAACTTTCAAACTAAGTTGACTTACTTTTAAGAAATTAAAATCAGAAATGCGGCATGAAAAAACAGATGAACCTAAGTTTTGGTTTATTTCTTAAAACCCTAGGAGCCCATTTTGAAAATTTCCATTTTTTAATTTAGCTCATCTTTATAATAAAGATGAACTAGAAACATCAAGCTCTTTTTTTATCATATTGAGATTTTGTTGGTTAAGCCTATTATTTTTTCTGTATTTTTTAAATTTAGACAACTTTGAAGTTGAAAGTCACGAGTCTTCTTGTAAAAATGTGGGTTTACAAAGAAGTTGGCGAATGGCAAGAATTATTTTATTTATAATATAGCAACTATAAATATACATTTACTGACTTTTTTGCCGACTAAATCCATTTAGTTTTTTTGCATTAAATAAAAAATGCAGAATAATGAAAAAAAGTTATCACTGTCCCAACCCTCACCCTTAGTCAATGTTGCAACAGCTCCCTTACATGTTCTTCCTATATCAGTTGATGTATGTACTGAAGTCCTAACAGTTCCATATCTTAGTATGACGTTAAATTACCAATCTAAATTAACTTTTATAGTTGTGTATGTTTGATATATATATATATATATATATATATATATATATATATATATATATATATATATATATATATATATATATATATTTATATAGAGAGAAAGAGAGAGAGAGAGAGAGAGAGAGAAAAAACCTTCGGAATTAGGGTCAGCATTTAGCAATGCTGACATAACTGCCGACCTGAAAGTGCTTGAGGTCGGCAAAAAACTGCCGACCTGAAAGTGCTTGAGGTCGGCAAAAAACTGCCGACCTTGTTTCTATGTTTTATGGTCAGACCTTTGTATCGAATAATTTTTGCCAACCTGATGCCGACCTCAAAAAGATTGAGGTCAGCAAATGAGGTCAGTCATGTATATATATTAAAGATGTCGTGAATAGTGAATGGGGTACGGTTTTGGTGATCAAATTGTTTATTTGTCCGAATTTCAATTCCACAACCACTAGCGTTTTAAAGAAATTCTATTGTTTCTCTGAAATGTTTGTCTACATTTCAATCCTAGAAAGCTTTGCAAAAATCTATTTTCAAAACCGCAACAGTACCCTATTTGCCAAATACCAAATATTCGGCTAAGTGCTCTGCTGAATATTCTGTGACACTTAGTTATTTTAACGGTTCTGAACTGCTTTATTGAAGTGCATATGTTAACTACACTGTGGGTGTTTTTTTCACAGTATGCATTATTTATTGACTATTACATTAAATTATTTTAACTATATTATAATATATATATATATATATATATATATATATGTATATATGTATATATATATATATATATATATATATATATATATATATATATATATATATATATATATATATATATATATATATATATATATATATATATATATATATATACACTTACTAAAGCGGATTTTTATAAGCATTTGCTCACTTTTTTTGCTTACCTTAACCCATACGGTTTTTTTAGAAAAAGAAGAAAAAAAAACAAAGAATGATGAATGTAACAATTGCTGCCCCATCCCAAACCCTCAGTCGATGTGGCAGCACTGCGAGTCAGGTTATTTGTCAGTCGATGTATGTACTGAAGCCCCCAGCAGCAGGCTATTTCAGTATCACATCAGATTGCTTACCTTAGTACGCAATACTATTTGTATATATATATATATATATATATATATATATATATATATATATATATATATATATATATATATATATTAATTATACATAAAATAACATTAACTATTTTATGAACTATACAAATCAGTTTAACTATGTTATATAACACACATATATATATATATATATATATATATATATATATATATATATATATATATATATATATATATATATATATATATATATATATATTATAGGGCAGGCCACAGTACCACATAAATTTTTCAAAGAATCGGTGTTGATATGAAAATGTTTATGTAACTCATCTTTAAGTTCTGCCGAATTTCATTTTTAACCTGAATTTATTGAATAAAGCACAAAACGGCAATTGCATCTGTTCCGTTTTTAAAATTCTTCGGTTTAATACTTGCTAATAATTGCCTATTTCTATTGTTCTTCATGTAAACAAACAAACGCAGTAAATGCAAATACATAAGCATACAATATTTGTTATACATAAGATTAAACACAATATTTTACAACAAGAGATCTAATTAAAAGATTATACTAATAAAATAATAAGAATAATGCATATTATTATAATATATATATTAATAATAAAAAATAATGCATTCAAACATAAAGAAATTTATTTTGCAATGACTTTCCGATGCATTGTATTTTTTCAAAAACATGTTTAAAATGCTGAGTAAGGCTAAATATTATGCTAATTTTTCAACAAATTAATTTTAACAAAATCTACTTACCTACCTAATTGTAGGGGAGGGTTGAATAGCTAGTGGGTGTATACTCAATGATAAAACTTCATTGATTGGATTGTTTTAATTGTGGGGATAGGTGGAGATATATTCAAGTTAGTGCAGATTAGGGGGAATGGTCATTAAATTTGGGTGGGGTGGATGTGGGGTGGCTGTGGGTGGTTTCTTTTAATACTTTTTATGATTTAATTCTTATGCAATCATTATTTTATACATTTTTAAACATTACTTTTAAATTAACATCCAGTTTTCACTGGATATAAAAATGTGAGCAATCATAAGATATTCCTTAATCCTTTTCAATCAAATCAAAAATCTCCTTCTAGTAATGGAATCTCAAAATCTATCACAATCATACTCATATTTGATATTATTACTATTGATAAGTTGGCATAACTTTTATATACAATTACAAAAAAAATAATTCACTCCACCCGAATATACATATATAAAGACATATACAATAAAAATTGTATCAAAAAATGTACATACCATTATAGTGACTGCAATATTCACATGTCACAAGAAATAAGTTTGGTTTTTATTGTGCTATCAGAACCAAAATAGCCTTTTGTATATATATTTATATTTATATTATAGAACTTGTTGCTGGCTCCTTCCGATATTGCAGGTTGGGGTATATACTTGAAAAATGATGTAACAAAAAATACATTAATAAGTGAATATTGTGGAGAGGTATTGCATTATTTTGTTTTGTTTTTAATTTTAAAAGGTTTTCAATTACACTATGTTTTGATTGTTAATAATTTTTATTTAGTTAATCTCTCAAGATGAAGCTGAACGTAGGGGAAAAGTTTATGATAAAACTATGTGTAGTTTCTTATTTAATTTAAATCATGGTATGAATTTGTTAAAATCTATGAATATTTTTAGTTTTATTTATAAAAATTTGATTTTTTATAAAATTATTTTAAGAGTTTGTTGTTGATGCCACAAGGAAAGGCAACAAGATTCGATTTGCAAACCATTCTATTAATCCAAACTGTTATGCAAAAGGTAATTATGTTTCTCTCTTTTCTTTGGAATATCGTTAATAAAACAAAGTTGAATGTTATGAATATTTTAATCATTTTAAAACACATTTAGTTTACATTAGGTTTACAAACTTTTTTATGTCTACTAGTAATATTATTTTCCTGAAATATTATTTAAGTTTGGTACGAAACTGTTGCAATTTTCAATAAAACGAATTATTAAATTATTTGTAAATAATATTAATTTAATTTAAAAGTTAAAGTATTCTAATAAGAATTATTTTAGCTATTTTCATTTTATATAAAAATAACCATAATAACAAATAAAGAGTTTTTACACTAAGCACTATTGTTTGTTTTGATTGTACCTTTCAGATAGTTTGTATCTTTATACAATATATCAAGGTTTTTATTTTTTTAATTCTATAACTTTTCATAGACGTTACATTGATGATATTTTTTTTTTTGTTTTATGGATCTATGGAAGAATTATATGACTTCATGAATGGTATCCATCTAACTATTAAATTTACTTTTAATGAATCTAATTCTTCAATTAGTTTTTTAAACTTGTCACATAATGACAGAAATGGACGTATCCAAAGTACTCTTTACAGAAAGCCATTAGATACAGTTAGCCTTCTACATCGCAAATACAATCACCCATACCATTTAAAGAAAAACATTGTATAAAGCTAAACGTTAAGCTATAATAAAATTTTGTGTTAGGAGGTTACACAGTGAAAGATATTAATTTACTATTTACAAGAGCTTTGCAGTTTGGCGAAAAACAACTAGTTAATAAACCCCCTACAATTATAAATGTAGATATATTACCCATAGTGACTCCTTATTGTGATATTGGGAGAGATATCAATGACATTGTTGTGAAACATTGGCATATTAGAAATGACCCATATTTAGCGGAAATATTCCATTTAAACTCACACCCACCTATTCTAATACATAATTGATCAAAGATATTTTAATACATTTGGCCCATAAATATATACATACGATATTTAGACTATTTTTTATAATTTTGAGTTATTTGATATTATAATATATTACTAGAATACGTCTTTATCTTTGCGTCTTTAGTCATTACTTTTCATCATTGGTTCTTTTAAAATTGTTTATAAAAAATCTATTAAATATAACTTATAAAAAATTTAAGTTATTTATAATTTGTGTGTTGCGATTAAAAGGTTACATTTAGTTTTTTTTAATTTTTTATATTTGAATATCTTTAGTTATGATGGTTAACGGTGATCATCGAATTGGTATATTTGCTAAGAGAAATATTGTAACTGGTGAAGAACTTTTCTTTGATTACAGGTGCGTGAATGAATATATTTATTAATAAATTTATCTGAAATTTTAAACCAATATTTTCTTACTTAAAAATTTGGTTTTTTAGGTACGGACCAACCGATTCTCTTAGATATGTCGGCATCGAAAAAGATACTCGGTTTCCTGATTCTACTACAGGTGTTGCAAAGAAATGGACAGTGTGATTTCTGTTGTTCTTCAACACTAAAATTATTCTATACGTTGAGATCATGGGCGCCCGTAGTAACCATAGGGTGAAACAAGAATTTATTTCATTTTCGCCTTACGAACACTGGTGATGTATCTTAGTGCTTTATGATTTGTAGTTTTTATTTAGAATATGAAACGTACACACAGTCTCTCTTCCTCCCTTATATATCTTTTACACTAAGATAGATTGATCACTAGTTCAGGTCAGATTTATTAGTTCAGGTTTATTGATGCAAATTTTTAACAATTTTAACTAGCGGATCGATACCATCCCAGGACAAAAAAAATCAAGTTTTATTTAGGAACATTGTTGTAAATCTAAATCGCTTAAGTTAATTACGTTTTAAAACAAGATACTTATTTGTTTCTACACAGCCCCGACGGCCGGTTCCTTGTAATCAATCAATGGTTGGGGCTTTTGTTATTGATTCAACAAAGCTATTATTCTTCAATTTTGTTTTTATTTCTTTGAAAACTCTAGTTTTTAGTAATAAATAGGATTACACCTAGCAACAGGTTTCTGCTAAGAGTTTCACGCTGTTGATAAGAAAAAAATTATAGCAACAGTTCTCAAAAGATAAAAGCGCTATATGTAAAAAAAAATTTCATGTTTTAAAGTTTTAATATTACATTAAGCTAGAGTTAATTTTAAATATTACATTTCAATATATATTTGAAGTTTAAGGTTTATTTTAAATTTTAATAAAAATAAAAAGAGAAACTTATTGTTTTTTGTTTAAAAATAATTAAAATTATGTTTCGATAGGCCGGCTGAATAAAAAAAGCAATTTTCATTTACTCAGTGTTTTTGGAGTGTTTACTCAGTGTTTTTGTAATTGTTCAATTTTAATGTGAGTTTCCACTCGTCCATTTTTTCACGGGAACGGGAAAGGGAAGGGAAAAATCACGTGGGCATGCGTATTATAAGTTTTAATTTGTCCGAAGTAACACTGCGCATGCTCAAGTGATTATTTTTCCCTTTCATATCCCGTTCCCGTAGAAAAACGGATGAGTGGAAACTCACCTAAACATGAGTAAAAATTCGAGGAAAATCGCTCAGCTTTTTATTTACGTAAAGTTAAGCAATTTACTCCAAAAGCGCTAAGTAATTGCTTAGCTTTACGTGAATAAAGTGGCTTTTTATTTTTCACCCGGTCTCATAAACCATATATCTGGTTAATCAATGATATATTATTGAATAATTTTTAAATATATTATTCTATAATCATTAAAATACCTAAAAAATGGTATTTTTTTAGAATCAGAATTTAACCTTATGTAACTTTTAATTTTAAACCCAATTGTCCATAGATTTTTTAAGATTTAAAAAAAATTTTATAAACAGGGCAAATTTTGAGGACACGCTCGTCATATTTGATATTTTGGCTTAATAGATAAAATATTTGAAAGAGTATTAAAAAAGCTTTGATATCGTGTAGAATTTGGAAATTTTTGTTATAACTACTGTCGTAGTTATAACAAAAAATTTTTTAAAGTTAATTTTTTTATATAAATATTTTATCATGTCTTTTTTTTTTATTTAAAGTGCTTAAATTTTTTAAAATGTCACTACTGTGTTTATCTAAAGTAGGGTTTTTTAACCTGTTGTCAAAAGACTCCTCACGTGTCCATGTAGCAGACACAGATTTAAAAAAAAATAAAGAGCGAAATTTTGATAATTTTGATAAGGGGAAAATTTTTATATTTTTAAATAAAAATTTATAGCAAGACATGTGCTAACATCTAAGCACAGATTTATCAGAGTGTAACGTTTTGCAATTCACGTTATAGTGCTGTAAATACTACTGTACTATATTGAAGTTCGCTAGATAACAAGCGAACAGGTTTTGAACCGATTGAACTCGATATTTCTAAAAGATAAAGAAAGTATTTGTGTCAAGTTCTGGAGACTGAAAACGTTTTGATAGTACTAGCCGACATTTAGTTATTTGAATTTTATAAACCTACCTAAGCTACAACTTAGGAAAATGAGAGTGGATGTAGGTGTTAACAGAATTATTATGGACACTATATAATTACTATGGACATTTGTGGAGCTGTGGCGCAGTGGTTAGAGTTCTGGCTCAGAACACTGAGGTTCGAGGCCTGCTTTAATAAGTGACATTGGTAATGAGGGAGGCGTGAATTTCCTGGTTAAATGCTCTTCTGCGGTGCTCTGTGATAAGACCGTACGGACCTCTGGGAGTACCTTAATAACCACAAAAAAGTAGTATGGTCCACATATTTCCGTTTGCTAGTACGAATCTTTGAGGCAGGGTTTTCAGCATAAGTATCAATAAAAGCTAAAGATCCTAACCGGCTAGACGTCAAAGACGATATGCGCTTTACGTTTACTAATTCCTCAATTTATTGTGCTTATTGAAAAGGAACAACAGCAATAATCTCATTAAACAACTGTCATGCGCTAAATTTTACTTGATATTTATAAATAAAGATGTACGTTTACATCTTGTACGCATTTATGCACTTTTTTTCCCTATACTTTTGCAATAAGGTTTGGAAGGGGTCAGTCAAATTAATAAAATTTTGAAAGTGAACGGTGACTACAAAAAGGATAAGAACCACCGATCTAAAACAACAATAAAAAAAGAAAAATAATAAAGCATTGTTAATGATTAAGAACGACCGGATAATCATCTGTTACTTAGACGTCATAAAACATGATGTCTCAAAAGTCATAAGCACTCTAGAGCAATAATAAACGCCCAAACTCAACTCATTTTTTTTTTTAATTCTGAAAGCAACGACAAAAACATTTACAAAAAAATGTTTACTTTTCACAGTACTTTTTGTTTAATTATTTGATATTTTCAAACATTTTGCATCGTGTGCAACACTTTTAGAAAAGTTGCTAAAACAAAGTTTTTTCTAGCGTATAAAATCTTACATAAATGTGACAATTATTGTACTGTTAACTTCAAAAGCAGCACATTTATAATGTAACCTTACATAAGGAAATGGTACTATTTAACAATTTTTTAAAAAATGAAAAGTAAATGAGTTTGATGATGTCAATAATGAAAGTAAATTTGTTTCATGATGTCAATAATGAAAGTAATGCTTTACCACTTCAGCAGTTACCGATGCTTTGAATAATCTAATTTTTGCTAAATGATATTTTAAAAAACAATGTTTTTTATAATATATAAATAATAAAAGAAAAAGGGAACGAGTGCGACTTAATAGTCAAAACCCTTTTGTTATAACCAACTAGCAACAGCAAAAAGTTCCTTTTTCAAATATTCTTACAAAAAATGAAATTAAAGCAGCAATAAAATAAATTAAGTTTAATAAAAATCATAATAATTATTACTTAAATGTAATAGTAAAGAATTTTTAATTTTTTTTGAATCATCGAAAGAACAATTTTTTAATAATAGGTTGTTTTTTTTAGCGGTTATTGGTTGCTTTTTTTAACTAAGTGTTTTTTTTAAATAAGTTGCTTTTTTTAACTAAGTAACTCCATTAACTTGCATATTTCATTATCTCCAAAAAAAGGGATTTAAGAAAAAAAGTTATTTTTTTGAAGTTTTAAAGAGTTTCGAGCTGTGTGTCATTTAAATATGTTGTGGGTCTAAATTTATTAAATATTTCAAAAAATTAAAATTTTCAGGTCAAGCAAAAAACTGAGCTTATAAATATGATTGTAAACTCATAGTTATAAAAATTTAAAGCGGTATACAAATCGATTTTTTTTTCCATTTAAACATATTTTTTGTTCTAAAAAAAAGATAAACCCATAGGGTAAATCACAGTTTAAAAAAATTGAATCTACAATTTTTTTGAGACACGTGGTAATGACTTTAGACCGATGATTTGCAAATTAAAAAAAAAAAGAATTTTGTGATAATGCGAAACCGTTAAGAGGTTATGAAGGTTGTGTTGAGTTATCACTTTTGCGGCACTTTATTTTTTTCTTTTACTAATTTAACTTGCTTGCCCAAAACTTTAAAGCTTACACTTGACTTGATTTGCTGTTGCTGTTGGTGTCGTTGTTGTCGCTTGATTTGTTTGATTTTTCGTGCAGTTGACTAAAGCATTCTTTTGATAAATTGTTGAATTTTGTCTCTGTATAAAACTGTTAAAGTAATTTGCACCAAATTCTTTTGACATGGTGATAAACACAATATCTATTAGCTGCAGAATATGTGACTAACTAACTGGTACAGAAAATAACAAGATATTTTTTTTAATGCAAATAAGTTCAATAGATAACATGTGTTAAAATTATGATTAAACTAAAAGTTATATTAAATACGCAGAATTCAATAATGAGAACGTTCACGCCAACGATCCATCTGGATAGAGATGTTGTGTATACACTGCTGTCTAAACTATTTAAGCTTCGACCATTGCATATTTAAAAATAACTCTTTTTGATTTAAGAATAATGTATGATGCAAGGCTATTACCAGCAGCATTGATGTAATTTTCAACTGCATAGTTGATTTTTTTATTGCTGCCCAATCAACTTTAATGGTAGTTTTTAGTGTCTGAAAATCAAGAGAAAAACCTTGAAAATCTTGCATTAATCACCAGTGAAACCAGTATGGTGTATGTGTATGGCTTGTTGTTTATTTTTTTTGCAAGTTTTCTTGAGACATTTTTTATATTGAATAGATTTGATGATAATCTGTTTAATTTATACGAAGATAATATATACAAATATGAATAAATATTATTGATAAAAATTGATTTAATTTATACAAATATTTTGTAGAGATTTATTGATCAGTTTAGACATAATTAATTAATAAAAGCTCCCATTTACCGCGCGTAAACAATTTGCTTATTTTATTTAATATCGTTGTTCGATTTTTTTTTTAAATAAATTTGATGTTTCGAAAACATCAAATTTAATTAAAAAACATTTTTCCTTACCGGCGTAAAAAATATACATCAATATTTTTTTAAGTGTACTGATAGAGTATGTGCAATTGATTTGCACTGATAGAAATATTGCGATCCCCAACCCCAGCCGTAGCAGAAACGATTTTATAAAATATTTTCCAATTTTATCTGCATTTATATTCATCGACAAATTTCAAATTTCATTCAATAACCTTTTAGTTTGCGGTTTTTATGACCCTAAAAAGTCTACAGCCCCCTTAATTTAAAGGAGGTT